TACAGTCCTTTTGTATTCTGAGGATGTTCCAAATGTTAGAACTTTATACATCTACTCTGTATGTCTATACAAAGCCATCTTCTATTGAAACAGTTAATCACCCCTCTAACACCAGATTCAACGTCAGTAAGCATCTAATTATATCAAATAATAGCTCGAATATTTACTTCAGATTTTTTTAATTACCTAGGTCCTAAGTTCTATAACATGTTACCTATTAATGTTAGAAAGTTTCCTAAAAAAACAATTTTATGCAAAGATGTTTAAATTTAATATTTTAGAATTTAAACTGTTTTCCGGTACATTGGTAATTGTGTATTAACTCACTCCAATGCGGATGTTTCAGATTTTGGTCACCCATTAGTAAGTAGTTTACTATTATTAATGGGTAACCAAATTAAGTACTTAATGTATACACGTCTAGGTGTATAATACATGTCTAGGTGCAGCACAAAAGTACTATTTAAACTCATTATTGTATAGAATATGTATAAAATTGAAATAATAAATACAAAATTTCTGTAAATAACTCAGTAATGTAATTCAATGCTAATAATACTCTTTAAAAATGGAGACTGAACTAAGAGAACTACAGACCGATTAGCTTTGTGTCCGCTTTGTATAGGCTCCTCAGCAAAATCATTACCAACCGCCTCAATAATAAGTTTGATTTTTACCAGCTCGTTGGATAGGCGGGATTCCGGAGTAGCTTTTGTACATTGGACCACATCTTAACGGTGCGCACGCTTATTAAGAACTGTACAGAGTACAATGTCCTGTTACACCTCACTGAATACTAGAAAGCATTCGACTTATTGGAGACATGGGCGGATCTAGAGGCGATGAGCAACGCGAGGATCGGCTCATGATACACAAGTTTTATTGAAGACATCTACAAAGATGCTGTGTTCCATGTGAAAATAGGTGATAAGATCTCAAGACAGAGAGGAGTAAGACTGGGTGACTCGATTTCTCCAAATTTATTTACCGTAGCGTTGGAAGATGTCTTTAAGAAATTCGCTTGGCAACAGAAGAGAGTCAACATAGACGGAAGATACCTAAATAATTTCCGTTTCGCCAACGACATAGTACTTATGAGCACTAATGCAGGGGAGCTTAGCAGTATGTTGCACGACCTGACGGATGCATCACAAATGGTGGGCATAACATTGAATCTTCAAACAACCAAGATTATGGGTCCAGACAATATTTGTCTTACTATCGATAACCACTCAATTCAAGTCGTGGAAGAATATCTATATCTTGGGCACAATATAATGCTAGGCAAGAGAAATCAGAGACAGAGAGCCGAAGTAAAGAGGAAAATCAAATTGGCTTGGGCGGCTTTCGGAAATCTCGCATATATCCTCTAAGAAGCTGAAATACCAATAAACTATCTATATACTAGGAGAATAATTTTATGTTGATAGATGCGTTTTCCATATTAACAGCCTGTCCAAAATACCGTGATGTTGCAATAAAACTTTTATTTTTGTGTTAGACGTGAAAAATGTTTAAACTATACTAATTAAAATCAGTATACAGGGTGATTCAAAATTGGCGTCATTCCTTTTAAGGGGTGATAGAGGCTCCCTTGGGGAGTATGAGAAAAATATTGAAAATTTTTTTTTCCAAAATGTATAGAAGATATTAACAGTTGAAGATCGAATTTCAACTTTGTTATTAAGCATTATTTTGATATATATGATATATATGGTTCCATGTTTAATTGGTAGCATATTGGAATACTTAAGCATTTGAAAAGAAAAATTACGATCTTTGCTTCAAATTACGAAAATTTTTTATATCAAAAAAGTTCTCTTCTACAATTTTTTGATAAAAAGTCAAAGCGGCAATGATGTTTTTTGTCATTAACAGATATTTACAGGTAGATCTTGTCAATCTTAACAATAATTTGTCATACTGTGACTTACTTTGAATTTCCTTTCACGAATTTGCGGATATGCGATTAGTTCAGGGGAAATGCTACAGTCAAATAGCAGAACCTGAAAGAACTCAAGCCAACAAAGGGCGAGGAGAATGGTTCTAGGAAGATAATTGACGACAATCCATTTTCGGGTTCCAAGCACAGAGGAACACGTATTGGACATAACCGAATCAGGGGCTTCCAGGGGCACTCAGAGTACAATATTATATATAACTGACACTTTCCCAAGCACAAAATAAATACCGAGGGCTACATTCCTACCACGTTTGTACGATACAGACTGCACAAGAATATACAAATGGAGCACGAGTTAATTAACTGAATACGAGAAGCTGCTTCATAAGAGTGGATAATAAGGAGATTACATAGGCACTAACTTATTTGAAATTAACCATTCAAATGTTTGGTGTTGTAGGGTTTATTTATAAGCTCCCATATTCGGGGTTATGAGAACAGGTTGACATTTCGTCAACAAATCTTGTTGAATTTACCGTTTATCCTTGCCTATATTATTGTCAGTCTGTATAGTTCCATGGTTACCATCCTGCCTTATTTCTGATATAGTTTTTGCAAATTTCTCAGTTTTTAATAACAATTAATTTATTTTACTTTTTTTTCTGTACTCCTATAACAGCGCCAGACAACACCTCCAGAGGAATGACGCCAATTTTGAATCACTCTGTATATTAGAGGTCTTATTTATTTCCACCTAAAATAATTTAAACGTCAATTGTGAAATACAAGTGTACGTTCTTCTAATGAGTGACTCTTTTTATTTGACGCTGGAACAATATTTACGCGACTCTAAAGAGAGCTTATTTAAATACAGTAATTTTCCCAAGAACAGAGCGCAGCAAATACTTTTAAAAAAATTTGAAGTTGTAAAGGATGAGTACATTTTGGTTTAAAATAAATTAGTAACGCACAGGGTGTTATCGTTGGAGGGAATAGTTAGGCTAAAAACCAATGAAAATACTTTTATCTCGTAATTAATATAAAGCAAAGAATTCACTGAACTTTAACAAAACAGTACTTATAGTCTCTCACTTTCTTGGAACTGAATGTATTTGTTTCGGTGATTATGTCATTGCAAAGTCAGTACCTTGCTACTTCATGGCTTTGCATTACTTGAAACTCATCAAGAAGAATGAACGCTTAAACACATTTCGTCTCAATTTTTTAACGTTTTTGAATTCAAATAATAGTGAATAGTGAGTCATATCAAGCAGCTGCAAACATGAAATGCAATGTTCACACCTCCTTGACAATATCATTTTATGACAGTATCCTCTTTCCGATTTAATCTTCAAGTGCCCCGGGGCTTGATAAATTTAAGCAAATTTTACCGGGTTTAAGGGATTCCAAATAATTCAATAATAAAAGGTTTCGGACCAGAAGGGCTCTCGACCATGATTCAATGCTATTAGGAGTGTACGAAATTAGGAGGACCGTGCCTGCTCTTGGTGATAAAATTTTACTAAGATGTTCATGCATGTATAAATTTGCCTACTCACGGGAAACACTGATTACAAATTTTTCAAAAGCCAACAAGGATAGAAGCAGTTAATAAGATATTTTCTCTTCAAATCGGAAATTAGTGTATCAGCCGACTAATTACTTAAACATATTGTCAAAGTCACTCTCGTGCTTTTGATGAAAAACACAAGATCATAGGCAAAAAATTAATGTGTTTTTGTATATTAAGTATCGGGACATCTGGCTACATTTAATTTACATTAAGATTGAATATTTAATCCAGCAGGAACATTTGCCATAACAAAGAAAAGTGCTTCTTTCCATAACAAAATGAAGTTGATCACGTTTTTCAGC